GGGAGGAGGGGCATGCAGCGATCATCATGGTCATCTAGCCTTAGGAGGACATGATATTCTCCTGAGACCAAGTGTACAAGTCCGATGTGGAAGGTGTTGTGGGACCCAAGCCCATCTTTCTGGGTCAAAGGTCTACTACTCCTTACAGCCCTGACCTTTCTTGCCTGGGCCTCAGTCTCTCAGACAGTGCCAAGTTCCAACCCTGTCAGAGGCAGCCCCACCCCTGCAGCAGAATCCCTTGCTCAGCAATTTGACACCCGGTGTTCTCTAAGCCCTGCATGGCTTGAGCTTGCAGTCACCCTATGGCCTGGGAGTGGTGTATAACAGAAACCAAGGTGCCCGGGTTATAGGCCTTGCTGAGGCCCCATGGGGGGCTGGACTCACGGCCAGGCACTCGGGTACAGCCTCCGTGGGGTACCACTATAGACACACTTGGTATCCCTCCCCAGGGAAGATGAAGGAAAGGACCACCCAAGGCCTAGTACACAGTGGAGCTCTTCCTGGGGTCACTCCTAGCGGCTCAAGCTGACCGACATATATGCCCCACATTTCCGTCAGGGCATCAGTGAGCTGACCCTCCTGTAGTGACCTGGAGGAGGGTGGTGGGCAGACACCTGGCCCTCTGCCCGTAGCTCAGCCACACTGCCCATCACCTTCAAGTGCCTCCTGGAGAACAACCACATCGACCGGCGGGTCGCTCGCTTTGTGCTGCCTGTGGGTGCCACCATCAACATGGACGGCACGGCACTCTACGAGGCTGTGGCTGCCATCTTTATTGCCCAGGTCAACAACTACGAGCTCGACTTCGGCCAGATCATTACTATCAGGTGTGTACTAATGCCACACTCCAGAGGGCCCCTGGGTCCGCAAGGACAGGCAGGACAGGCTCTGGGACCAGGATGAGCAGAGGCAAGGGCCAGGCCCGAGGACCAGAGAGGCTCATGTCAAATGTGAGCTGCTGTCATGGGTCAAAGCCTGAGGCGGCCTCCTTGTAGGCCAGTCCCAGCACCCGGTTCTGACCCAGGCCCAGGGCGAGGCTGGGGTGGAGCGGTGCTAGTAGACCATCAGAATCCGAGTGCCTTTGCCCCACAGCACAGTTTCCTAGCTTATTCCAATTCCCCCAAGAACGGGGATGAGAACCCATGGGCCGAAGACTGTGAGCAGACACATGTTTCTCTGGGAACCCCTGGTGTGATACTCATGGCGGTCCCCATGCCTTGGCCAGCCCAGAGGCCCTAGCATTCTGGTCTAGGAGCCAGGGCTGCCACTCCCTTCTCCCTCTGCAGCATCACAGCCACTGCGGCCAGCATCGGGGCAGCTGGCATCCCCCAGGCAGGGCTCGTCACCATGGTCATTGTGCTCACCTCTGTGGGACTACCCACCGACGACATCAACCTCATCATCGCTGTGGACTGGGCCCTGTGAGTGCTTCGTTCTGTCCCTACCCAGCCCTACCCTTGCTGAGATGGGAAGGAAGGGGACTGGGGTGCCCCAATAATCCACACCAGCTCGGTTGTGTGGCTTAGGGTCTCAGAGTTCAAAAGTCAAAAGAGAGTCCCCTTAAATTCCCTAAAGATGTTCTAGATAGTGATCCCAAGTCTGGCCTCTCTACACTGGGCCTGTGTTCAGGAAGGGGCCTCCTCAGCTGCTTAGGCACCACTGAGGGTGGGTTGGGTGCTTCCCTGTCTGCAGTCACTGCCCGAGCTTCTGTGCCATGGCCTCACTTTCCAGTCGAGCGTGGCCCTCTACCAGTTCCTTGTTGAGGTTGTTGCGGCTCACCCCCTACCTTGGCTTGCCAGGGACCGCTTCCGTACCATGATTAACGTGCTGGGTGACGCACTGGCAGCGGGGATCATGGCTCACATCTGCCGGAAGGATTTTGCTCAGAACATGGGCACTGAGGTGAGAGCCGCGTCTCCCCAGGAAGCCTCGAAGAGATAGAGTCAGGTGGGAATACAGGTTTCATGGTGGACCTGCCAGAGTGCCCAGATGGAGCCAGTGAAGCAGGAAAAACCCAGCCCATCTTCCCTCTGAGAAACCCAATCCCTTGCGCAGAATGCTGGGAACTGTCTGGTATTCAGGGTTGCTGGTGTGCGCAGTTGGCTGTACCCACTTCCCTGGAAGGACACTGAAGTTCAGGCAGAGGGGCTACTGTTCCCCAACTGGATTCTGGGGGGCAAGTCCCTGATCTACCAAAATAGGAGGCAGGAGGCAGGGCAGCTTGCAAACTGGTACCCAGAGAGGCCCGAGCCCTGCCAAGGCTACCCAGCCGTGTTTATAGGAAAATCCCTTTCCGTGGCTCCCGGTCCCTGAGAATGCTCAGCACTACATACCCTCAGTCTCTCCTCCTCGTGCTAACAAGGCTCGCTTCCTCTCCAGACACTGCTACCCTGCGAGACCAAGCCAATGACACTGCAGGAGATTGTGGCGGCCCAGCAGAATGGCTGTGTGAAGAGTGTGGCCGAGGCCTCGGAACTAACCCTCGGCCCCATGTGCCCCCACCACATCCCAGTCCAGGTAGAGCAGGATGAGGATCTGGCCACAACCAGCCTAGACCACTGCACCATTGAGATCAGCGAGCTGGAGACCAATGTGTGAGCTCCCAGGGCTGCAGAGCCAGCCAGACCCTGGGGTGCTGAACTCAAACTACACCTGAGAAGCTGGCGAAGCCCAGTTCAAGTTCCACCCTGACGGGCTAGTCAGCCATTGTCTCAGAAAAGAGACGATAGCATGCAGGAGCCCAGTCAGCAACTACGGGCTCGTGTGGCCCAAGACCTAGCTGTGACAGTTTCTACTGCATGAGCTCACAGAAGCACCTGGCAGGGAGGGGTCTTTGCCTCTACCTTATGGAGGAACAGTTTTGGGGTCTGAGAGCTACAACCATTCACTGAAAGCAACACCAGGGCCAGGATATTAACTCAAGTCTTTGGAGCCTCGGCTACTCCCATCTAGTGAACAAGGCAGCCTGCAAGGACCAGCAAAAGAGGCTCTGCCCTCTCCAGTGTCCCCACAGCCACCACTGTGTGCAACTCATGGAGATACAACAACAGTGTCCCTGTTTCTGCCCCAGGTCAACCGTTCCTCCACCCGACAGCATGTGGTTTCACCCCAACACTCCCAACAAGGGCTGGCCTATCCCAGGGCTGAGACCTGGCGGCTTCCGTGTGCCACCGCCTTGTCCATTTCTGTCCCCCAGATCTCTCATCTAATGTGGAGACCGATGTCCACTAGAGCTGGAAGGCCCCATGGGTACAGCCCAGCCAGCCTCCCATGGGACAGGTGGACAAGATGGGCCGGCCACAAGGAAGGAAGCCCGGCTGGGATTCTCTGGCCAAGTGACTTGGGGTCCGAACTCCATAAGGCTTGTGTGGCAAAGAGGAATGGGAGTTATTTGTCCCTTCTATGTTTGCAATAACGTGATAAATAAAAGTGCTTGTTTTTTCAAGTCTTGTGGATATAACAGACTGTGTGCTGGTGGTGTTTTGTTTTGGGACAGGGTCTTGTTATGCAGTACTGGCCACCTATTATGTAGACTGTGTTAGTAGCCACTCTCCTGCCCATGCCTTTCCAAATGCTGGGATGATAAGGCCTGAGCTATACTCTCTAGTTGAGACCAGACTTTTAGGCAGACCTTCTTTGTTGAGCTAACGCAAGCTGACAGGGCACAGATCAGCCAGTCCTGGTGGCCACAGTGAGGACAGGCCTGTATGAGCCATCACCTGTGGGAGACAGGTATAAACAAGCCCACCCAGGCCACCTCAGTAGGCCTGATTGGGCCTTTCCCAAGACAGTTATGTTCAGACCTCCTTACCTTGATTAACCTTGTCTGGGCTCTGGTTCTGTAATCAGACCCCAGAAAAGGAAAATCTCAGTCAAAGCCTGCCCTTGGTAGCTAACACTTTGCCTTAGAGAAAGACCTAGTTCAAAAGCCTAAGGCACAGAGAAGGGTGCTGGCCACACAATCTGTTGTAGCTGGGATTGGAGTTAAGTGTGGGGTAGCGAGGTATAACTCTGGGGTCTGGAGGGATAGTATACCAGGCCCAAGAGGACACTGGGACCAAGGGAGGAGACAGGCCTCCCCAAGGTCACTCAAGGGTCAGGACCCTCACCCTTGAACTCTACCTTCCTCCCCTGAGTGTAAAGACCCAGGAAGGACCTCAGCTCCAAGTACACACCTTCCCACTTTTTGTGGTCCTCTCATGGGTCTGCCTAGCTGTCTTTCCACAGTTGACTCCTGATCGCCTGAGACAGAGCAGCTGTCCAGCCAGTTACTTTTCCCTTCACGTAGATGGGTTCATTTGACCTTCCCCGAGTCACCTCTTAAGGTCTTTGAGGAATCAGCTGCCTTGCCCGGCTAGCCACAAGCAGGAATCTGTATTTTGATGAACTTGACAGGCTTGTACCCACACACCTCCAGTTCAGAAGATCCCTATATAGTCACCGAGCTCTAAATGGCAGCTAGGTACAGCCTCCCTACAGCTTTCTGTCCAAGCCAATATGCCACAGTGGGGTGGCATATTGGACATGTCTCTCACCTCTTCCCTGGGAATGCTTAAAGAGACTGGCCTCAATGTCAGCTCTACACGAGCTCTCAGACCTGTCTTCTGCCTCTTCCCTACCTGTGACCAGCACAGACCACATCAGGAACCCCAGCAACACCACCTCCATGCAAAGATGACGAAGGTGACTCTTCAGGTGGATCCTCTGCCTGGGGGCTCAGCTTGGGGGAGCAGGGGGAATGGACAGGCCTGTGCCCTGTCTGACTCTAAAAGCAGATTTCCACCCCCTGAGAGTGCATGTGCCAAGCCTTCCCGCCTTGCTATGTCCTATCCCTCCTCTCTCGGCCCCGCTCCCGTGGGGGCCCCTCAGGCCTAGCCCTGGCCTTCAGTCTTGCTGGTCAGGGGTATTGCTTGTTGGATCTCTCGCCCACCCTGAGCAGAGGCCAGTCCAGCTCCTGAGGGAAGCACACTCAGACACAACATGGCTGCGAGGGCAGGGGTAATACTTTATATTAGTTTTTCTGTAACAGGAAAAATCAGCTTTGAGACTTTTATCTTTATATATTTTCCTTCTTAAACAAAACCAAAGGTACCCAGAACTTTCCTGCAGAACTGAAGACCAACGCAGCTGCCACCCCCAACCCCCACCAAGCACAGCTGCCTCCTTTCCCTCCCCCTCCTTCTTGAGAATGTCCTCAGAAAGTGCCTGTGGCCTGCCAGGGCACAGCAAAAAGGGGCTCCCTGTGGTGGGACTGCCCCAGCACCTGGGGAGGGGGTGAGGCCATGGTAGAAGTTAGAAGGTTCGCATCCCCAGAGGGAAGGCACAAAACAAAAGCCAGCTTTTGTGAGTCTCAGAGGGAGAAAGCACCTGGCCATGAACAAGGAGACAACCGGAGTCTCCAAGGGAGAGACAACAGAGGACAAGGCACATGGCCAACTGTTAACGGCCAGAGCTGGCCAGAAGCAGGAACTTTCGGTGGCATAGGTCACTCTTTATGTAAATTGGGGAGAGAGCAGTTGCCTGAGTGTACCAGGCCAGTGTGGACTCAGAGGTCAGGGTGTATGGTGTGTGTGTGTGTGTGTGTGTACGTGTGTGTGTGTTGGTGTGGGACTGTGAAGACAGCCAGTCTGGAGGGTCATGTGCAGCTGGCTATCTGTGTGTCTGTGTGGCCAGGCTGGGGGTGTGGTATCTGCTTGTGTCTGATTGTGTGGCATATTACAGGAAGGAGTGGGACAGGAGATTGTGTTCAGCCTGTGGCATTCGGATGCCCCTTGGGCTCAGCGTTGGGTATGTCAGAAGGGGACACTCGTGGGGCACAGGTCTGGGCTGCAGAAGGAGTCCGGTGGTCCATCGTCCTGTGGAACACGTTGCAGAGTCAGGGCTAGCTCCAAACAGCTTTGGATGAAATGAACCAGGGGAACGGGGGGGAGGCGGGGATTGGAAGCTAGACTACTGTGAGTGGGGATGGGGAGGTGCCCTGCTCGAATCCAGAACTCTCTGGGACTTCTCCCAGCATTCCACTCGGTTGGCTTGGCTATGGCCAACATTCCACAAAGGGGGAAGATTCTCCTTAACCCCAGAGAGTCCTCGTGGGATAGCAATTATCCTTTCCTGCTGACCCCTGACTTTTAAGGATGGTACCTTAGGACAAGGACTCTACTTCCATAGCTGTCCCTGGTAGCTGGATCTGCCCCCCTATGCTTACAACCCTGCCATGCTTTCTGTCATAGGTATGCCCTGTCCCCATCATCCATCCTCACAGCTGTCACCCCCATCAATAACCCCCCACCACTAGTTCCTCTCAGCTCCAAGCCCTACTTCAAGTCAGCATCCTAACTGTGGCCATGACCAGCAGCCTCCTCCTATGGCCACACCCTGACTTCACAGCCCCTAATACATTCTCTGAAGTCCTAAGGAACCTTAGCTATCCCCCCTGACCACTGCTCTCTGCCGGGACACTCCCTATCACCTGCCCAGGTTTCAGCAACCCCCACCCCACATCTCTGCTACAACACTTCCACCTGCCCCTCCTCACCAAGTCTGGCCCCCAGGACAGAGACTGTTAATATCCCATTTCCTTGTTCCTTGTCTTTCTGGCCCCACAACCCTAACCAAAAAGGCAGCCATGGATGAATCCAAATCCCTGCTTGGCATCTTCCACTGCATGGACAGAAAGCGGATGGTCTCGGGCTGATGTGACTTCAGATCCAGCCACTAAGCCACTAGCCAGCCTGTGACTGCAGCCACTCAGCTCCATGGCCCTCCTTCCACAGTGGGACAGTTACAGTCTTCTGAAACCCCTACCGTAGCCATCATACCCGCTCCCCTCCCTGCACCGCCCTCCCTCCACGGCATATCCCACGAGCATTCATGTCACCTGTGCCAAGAGGAACACCGAGCAGAGTGGGCTTCGCAAGCTTTACATGGCCTCCCTCTACTTCCCACTCCGCTCCTGCTACCCCAGAGCAGATATAGTCATTGACTTCCCAGACATTCTCTCCACCCCTGCCTCTCTCTCGGGGGTTCCCTAGGAAGTCGCAGGACTGTGTAGACACATCCATTTAGGCTCAGCAGAGACCACCTTCCTTGAGCTCTTTGCACTGAAACAGCTCGAGTCTCCTGCTTCTAGAGAAATCCATGCAAGTACTAGGTATGTGTGTATATGTGTGTCTACATGTAAGCCTGTGCGAATGGGTACCTATAGAGACACCTCTATGCACACTTGTTCACACAGATATGTACCTGTTATTGCCTGTGATTGTGTCCTGGAGGAAAGCATGCACACATGCACACATGAGTGTGTGCAAACTCCCTGTACGTTAACTGTCTATGGCTACCCTCTCCCTCTCTGTCCTGGACAAGCTCTTCTAACTCCCTCAGTGTCTATACCTATCTCAAGGCCTACAGCAACTACCTCCCATCTCCAGCTCAGGCCTCGCCCCTGAGCCCCAGACGTGGGAGTCTCTGCACCCCAGGCTATCTCCCAGTACCGTACTCATCCCCCTGTTAGAATGCCTTGGGCACAGACTGGCTTCCATGGGCACTATGCCACACACACCAACCTCTCCCATGGTGCAATCCTACATGCAAAACGAACTGACAGGTTTTCAAAATGAAGGGATAGAATAGAGGACAGGGTGAAGTTGACACAGAGACCACCCACCTGGGTCAGATATATGTCACTCCGTTACGATCCTGTCTCCTCTTCCTCCTCCTCTTCCTCCTCCTCCTCTTCTTCTTCCTCATCTATGTGGCCCCGGTCCTTGGAAACGTCACCAAACTCAAAGTTGCCCTCAATGTCCAAGACCTGCAGGTGTTTCAGCCTCCGGAAGGCGCTTTCCACCACGGAGCCCACAGCCAGCTTGTTGAACCTGAGCAGCGGTCCAGGGGTCAGTGTCAGGTGCTCGGGCTGATGCCCTTATGCCTGCCCAGCTCAAAAGGGAAGAGGGCAGAAAGGTGTCTAGGACATGGGACAGCAAGTTGTAAAGGTGGGGAGCCAAGCTGCAAGGCACACCGTGGCAAGTAGACCTTTTACGGTGCTGAGAGCTTAGAGGAAGGGGACGGCTGGGACTGTCACCTGCGAGGCAGAGAAGTCCCCCACTATACATACACCTACTTCAGGGATAGAGTGGCAGCCAGAGAGTGGCCTCTGCTGCCCTCTGGCACCAACCCCAAGATCTGCCTGGCACACAGGCAAGGCCATAGCTGAGCTGGTAAGAGTACTCAGTCCTGACTTTAGACCCAACGGTGCCTCAGCGCTGCTCAGAAACCCAAGACACACCACACCAGTGCCACCACCCTGGACCTTCTGCTGTCTTCTGTTCTGTCTCCTCTCTGATTTTGGCAAGGTGAGGGGGGTCGAGTTGAGGTGTGGGAGGGGTTGAGAAGAAGCCATAGACTGTGGGGTCTGAGTTCCCTGAAGTTCTAACCCCAGAGTCCAGTGGGAACTAGGCATCTGTTGTTCTTGGTCTGACACCTGAGTCCCACGTGGCTGGCTGTGAACACAACTGTCCTAGCAAGATGCTCCCTGGGCCTCCTCTCATGCCCATGACAAACAGCAACACCCTACACTAGTCATCAACGTGCCTGATGCCCGCTAAGAGACCTATGAGCCATCGCAGGCCTGCAGAGCTGTGCTCACACTCTACCTGCAAGCCACCTCAACTGCCCATATATTGTTAGATGTGTGGTGGTGGTGGGGGGTGCAACGGGGTGGGGGAGGGGAGGGGCAAAGGAGGCTTCAGGGACTCCTACCTGAGAAAGATCCCCTTGAGGTTGGGGGTCGAGTCGAAGGCATTGGCAGGAACGGAACTGATCTTGTTATTCTGCAGGTACAGGTACTCAAGGGACGGGGGCAGCCCCTGGGGGATCTCTGTCAGCTGGTTCCCAGCGATGTCCAGCAGCTGCAGAGGCGAGCAGGGGATCAAGGACTCCCACCTGTGCAGAGCACTTAACAGTTTACAGGCTCCCACCAAGCCACAGACTAACTATATCTAATGAGAACCCCAGTGGCTGCGTATCATAATCCTAGCCTTTCCCCTTTAATCCACCTGTCACTTCCATCGGACTAGACACGTCAGGATCAACATGTGCAGGTCGCATGTACAGGGGCCAAGAGAGTGGGCACAAGACTTGTAGAAACCCTGTCACAACAAGCAGGCCCCAGGCTGGGCAGGCTCAGAGTCACCTCGTGCCTGGAGCCCAGGAGCTATAGCCAGGGAAGTGGAGCAGGGGACCTGGCACACACTGCACTGTGCCCACCCTTGCTGCCCCTCTGAGTGCCCATGCACCTTCTTCAGACCCACACTAGTGCTGCCGACGATGGGACTTCATGCTCTTGAAGCTCCTTCATCACCCCAAGAGGCTGGGACTCGGGGTCATTGCCCAGATCCCACACAGCTTCGTGAGTCAGCATCAGGATTGCAACGAAACCCAAAATTTCCAGCTCTGTCACCTCCTCTGCCCACAGGGCTTCTTATTTCCCGTTTTGTCTTCACAGCCGTGGGCACCCTTCCCACTCTTGGCTTCACCACTCCCTCATTCATTCCAGAGATGGTTGGTGCCCATGGGTGCTGGGGACATGGACTCCCTGAGACACCATCTCCACCCTCAGGAAGACAGACAGGCTGTGTAGATGGACCAGCGCCTGATTAAACAAGCCCCGGGCCTGGCTGTAAGGAGGGAGCAGGGAAAGGCCTCATCCAGCCTGGAGCCAGGAAGTGCTTTCCAGGGCATTAGCAGAGGGTGGATTTGAGGAAAAAGCAGCAGTTGCTGTCAAAAGACCCACAGTGTGAGGGAGAGTCCCTGCTCACTCTCCAGATACCCAGGCTGAGGCTCGGGGAGGTGTCTGACCTGCCTGTCCCTGCTAACTGATAAGATGTTTCCAGGAAAGAGAGCAGGCAGAGTGCTCCCCACAGAAGAACTGATGTGTGCCTGAGCAGGGGCAGGGGGAGCCTTGAAAACCATAGCAGGGAATCTGGCCTGGGACCTCGAGGAAGCGGGGAGCTCCAGAAGACTTGGATAGGAGTGCAGATGCTATTCAATTAGGGGAGTGGTGAGACCCTAGGAAGGTGAGGTCCAGTGCAGAAATGGGGAGGATTGGCCTGGGGCATAAGCAGCCTAAGTGGAGAGCTGGAACTGAGGGAGGAGCTAAAGCGTGGGCCTCTCCTTCTACCCAGAACATAGGCTACTGACAACCTACAGGACCCAAGGCCTGGCCGATGAAGCTTATAAAGAAAACAGTGCAGAAAGAGACCTCAGAAGTGGCATCTACAGACCAGGCCCTGAGGAGGTCTGAGGGAGGGGGACAGTGTGGAGGTTCTCAGCCTCTGTCATGAAGAATATTTCTGGGAGGAGAAGAGCGCTGTAGCAGGCCTGGCCCCTCTTTAGGGCTCTGATGAATTCCACCTGCTCGCTGCTCCCCTCACATGGGAGGGTCTTCTCGTCCCCAAAGAGGTTTGACCTTGGGAATACCCTGCACAGCCACAGCAGCCATTTCCATTAGTTGGCCCAGAGTGCCTTGAGCCGCTCTCCCATCCTGCCCCGTGGCTGACTGGTAAGATCAATGACAGCGCCCCAACCTCCAGCGTCAAGGCCCAGTCTTCTGCAAGCACCTGCTCTGTACTTCAGGACCATGGGACCATGTTGCCCAAATTGCCCCCTAGTCCTCCTGAGCTAGGGACCCTGACCTGAAGCCATGACTATCTCTCACCTCTACCACCCTTCTCAAGCCTAGGTCTGCCTGTGGTGACCTGGCCCGGCCACCCCAGACACAGGCTCCTGTGCTCGCTCTGCCATTTGCTTTTGAACCTATAAGTAGGTTGGAATGCATGGTCACAACCCTCCTACCCTGAGGTCAGCCTCCCCAGCAGGTATCTAAATGTGAATTAGTTCAGTCTGGCTAACCCACAGGAACCTAGCGCCTGGCACAGCTGTCCCTCATCCCCGCAGCTGAGTAAGTTCAGGGCAGCCATCACAGTAGGTCCACCATCCTCTCTCCTCCCAGTGCCCCCATGTGGCCAAGTCCTTTAGTACCTGCAGACCAGCAAGGTCCACCCAGGCCCGGGGTCCCAGGGCCCGGCTCCGCAGTCGATTGCCTGTGAGGTAGAGTTCCCGTAACTGGGCCATGCCAGCTAGCGCCCCGCGTGCCAGGGCAGCCAACTCATTCCTCTTGACCTTCAGCACGTGTACATTTCTAGGCAGGCCCGGAGGCAGGGTTTGCAGGCGATTGCCAGACAGGTCAAGGGAGCGCAGCAGGCGCAGCTTGCGGAAGGCATCCCGGTGCATCTGTGGGCTGGTGATGCGGTTGTAGCTGAGGTTGAGCTCTTCCAGGAAGTAGGTGGTGGCGAAGTCCTCGCGGCCGATGCCCGTGATCTGGTTGTGCAGGATCATGAGGGTGCGAACTCGGCGGGGCAGGCCACTGGGCACCCGCTCCAGCGCGTTATTGTACAGGTGCACCGTGTGCAGCCGCTTGAGGCCCTGGAAGGCCAGCGGGTGGATGCCCTCGGCCCGCAGCTGGTTGCTGTGCAGCAGCAGGTACTCAAGGCTGCGGATGGGTGTCAGCACGTCAGCGTCGACGCTCTGGATGGCGTTCTTCTCCAGGTGCAGCAGGACCAGGCTGCGGGGAAGGCCCGCTGGGACCCGTGACAAGTTGTTGCTGGACAGGTCCAGGTACTCCAGGCTCGAGAGCTTCCTGGAGAAAGGAGGGGACTGAGATGCTAAGCAGGAGCCCACATCCCACATCTGTTGTCTCAGCAGGCCTTATCTATACTTGTTCCCAGAGACAGAAATGGCAAAAGACACAAGCCCCAAAGTTTCTTCTCCAGGGAAAGCAGCCAAGGAAAGTAGACACATGGCCATGCCCAGCTGGTGATAAGGAAGATGTGGTGATACAAGGACCCACCAGAAGGTCTCATTGTCCAGGCCTTCGTCGGTCAGGTAGTTGTTTTGCAGGTACAGCTCCCGGAGGTTGCTCAGCTCACTGAAGGCCCCAGGGGGGATCTTCTCTAGCTTATTGTTCTAGAAGGAAAGGCAGGGAGGGGGTAAAGTAAGAGGCCTGGGTCCTGGCACAGGATGAGGTGCACAGAGAAGCCTGGGGGCCAGCAAGAGGGGAGCCATACCTGCAGCATCTGGGTGTGCTGATAGACCCCCTCAAACCCACACTGATGGTCAGGTGCCCAGATATAGCTGTCTGTTCCCCTAGGTAGCTAATACTCTTGCACGGGACTCTCAGTCTCACTCAGCATCCCCATACCCAACTGGGCCATGCTTCTCCCTCAGTTGGTCTCTGTGGGCCACAGGTCTGCTTCTACCCCACATCTGCCGTCTCTGCTCCCCACCTTGAGATGCAACTTGTACAGGGCAGGTGGCAGGTGCTTGGGCACGTGGCGCAGGAAGTTGCTGGACAGGATGAGGATCTCGACGTTGCTGGAGCCGTTGAACATGTTGTCCGGCAGCCCGGCATCTGCTAGCTTGTTATTGTGCAGGTATACAGACCTGTGGGGTTGAGGTGCAGTCCTCACCCCACCTGGAATCCCCGGCCCTAGGCCAGCTTTGCTGTGTACCTTACCCAAGACGAGATCAGGGCCTAGGGTACTTTTCTACCATCTTAACCCGGGGATGCAGAGTTAAAGGGCTTCAGAACCCCCTATATGGTCAGGGACAGCGACCAAAAGGCTCGGCACCCTGCCAGAAGTCACCACATAAATTTTAGTGGCAGAAACAGGACTTCCTGGTCCCAGCCCAGACTCCTTCATCTGAAGTTTAGTGTGGGGGTCCCAGGAATGGTCACACCCCTTAATCAAGTTCAAAGAAGGGCAGCGTTGCTGGCCGGAAGCTGCTCTTCCCTCCCAGACCCCACCATTCCCATGCATAAGCTCATTCCTCATCTACTGCACAGAGGCCTCCTCATCCATCAGGTCTCAGCTTTCTGGATCCTGATCCTCTGATCCTCTAGGCCCTGGCTGTTCCTCCACCAGCCCTGAGCACAGCCTGTAGCCCACACACAGCACAGCACAGAAGGCCCCTTCTCAGGGCCTGCCTGGGTCCCTTCTTTGTCTCAGCTTCCCCCAAACCCTCCAACTCACCCGATATGCATTCATTCCCACACCCAAATCTGACTTCTAACCTCAGATTTGGCTTTTGGCCAAAGGTGAGTCCATAGATCTTAGTGAGATAATTGGCAGCAAAGTCCACACTGATCAGGGCGTTTGGCAGGAATCGGGGTGCCAAGGTGAGCTGGAAAGGAAAGAGCCGACAGAAAGACCAATAGAGGCTAGTTCTGGGCCCTGCCACTGGGTGCTTATCTGTTCCCGTCCCTGGGTTCTTCCCTGACACCAAAGCCACTTCCCTAATGTAGAAACTTCTGATGTTTCGAACGTTCCATCTTTTGATAAAACAAATGTGCCCAGTTCCCATAGCCCTTTGCACCTGACCCCACACTCCTGGGCTCCTGGGCTCCTGGGAAGGGGTTAGAGGTCAGAAGGAGGAGTGTGATTGAAAAGTTGCTCTGGACAAAGGGAAGGCCAGCTCCGCTCCTGCCAGCCTTTCTGTCTTTCTGTTTATTATTTACTTCTACACATTTTGAAACAAGTCTCCTCGTGTCCATGCTTGTCTCAAATTCCCCGACTTCAATGCTCCTACCCCAGCCCTGAGTACTGGGGAGAACAGAAGCATGCCACCTCAGCTGTACAGACTTCCCCTGGGCCCAGGCTGGAATCTTCCAGCCCTTCATTGCTCTGCTCAAGGGCCTGTGTGACAAGCTGGGTTCTCCCTCCACCCATCCGTGCTGGAGACCTTGGCTGCTTCATCAACAGACACGCTCTAGCTTATAGGGGATGGCAAGCGTCCCCTTCTCAACAGCCATGACAACAAGGACCAAGAAGTCAAGCTGGAAAGGGCACTGGGGGACAATCACAGAAAGCAAGGGAAAAGAGAGCCAAGAGCGCAGGGAAGCCCACCTACCCCCAGGAAGCCCGCCCACCCTCCATGACCCTCACCTTGTTGTTGGCCAGGTACAGGTAATTGAGACTCGTCAGACGCTCAAATGCTTCCTCTGGGAGCCCTTTAAAGGACAGGTCAGAGCCCTGGATGAAGGATAAACTGCAGGGGAGCAGGCGAACCACCCACTTGCTAGGCAACTCCCTCCCTTCCCCACCAGTTTGTGTTTATCCTGTGTTCTCTCTTCTCCTGATGTGGCCCAAGCAGAGAAGGAAGCAGCTAAGTGCTTGCTGGGTATTGAGTGACCTAGCTTAACCCTTTGAAGCCAGAAGGAGTGCTCCCCTGGGGATGGCTGCACAAGGGGTCAGAGCCCCCCTTCAACCTCAGCCCCACCTATAGGCAGGTGCAGCCAAGCTGGGATAGGCTCTGTGTAGGGGTAGGCCTCACCCCTGGTCCCCTCTGACAGCTGGCTTGTGAGGAGACCAGTTAGACTGGCCCCTCTCCAGCCATGTGCTGGCCTCTGACATCCAGTTCCCATTCCAGGACCCCCAGATGCTGGGACGGGCCCAAGTCAAAGGAGAAGGAACAGTTATATAAGCCACGGCCGGGCCATCTCTCCATGGAATACCCTGCTGGGTGTGACGTGACAGCCAGATAGAGCTCCTGCAACAGTGCGAGAGAGAAGCTGCTAGGTGAAACAAATCAGGCGCCGCAGCGATCGCAGGAGCTCAGTAGTGGCTTTAAAACCTAGGATGAAGGACTGCAGATCACAGAGGCGGCTGTACACTGCGTAAACTCGCTGAAACATACCAGATTGGAGTGGACTTTTAAACCAGGTCACTTATAGTACATAAATTACATCTCAATAAAGCTGCTTTCTTTTAAAACGGGGAAGGGAGAGTACCAAATCTTAATATTGATTAATTCGAAGTGGCGGGATTAGGGTTTTCTTCTCCCCTTCCACTCTGTTTCCTGAAAGTTCTATCCCAATTATGTATTTTACTTGGTCTTCGGGGAGAAAAGACAACTTGCAGAGTTGCTGACAAGGCCCCAGGAGCCCGAAGTCCTACCTCCTGGGTCCCAGACACCCCCAGCAGGGTGAGGATAACATCAGAGAGCACCCCTGCAGCCCAGCCGAAGCCTGGCTCCCCTTCACCCCAGGCTCTCCAAGATGAGTTTTTTCCTCGGCCACCATTCCTCTCAAGCCTCTGAGACACACACACACACACACCGTGTCCCAGGCCCCTGAGCAGGTGTCCCAGCTCCGGAGATGTCCCCTCACCTCGGGAGGTCAGGCGGTTGTTCTGAAGGTTGAGTGTCTCCAACCGCTGCAGCCTAGCCAGCTCCTCGGGGTAGATCTTCTCCAGCTGGTTGTTCTGTGGGGAGATGGGGGGTGGGGGCTGTCCCTGAACAGAAGCCACTTAGCTCCCCTTCTTTGTTATACAGTCCCCACTCCCCTTGGGTACTAGGTTTCTGATCTGACCACACCTGGAAAACTCTCCTGGGTGGAATGAAGAGCCTGGTCTGGACCCCATAGGGCAAATTCTCTCTCTCTCTCTCTCTCTCTTCCTCCCTCCCTTCCTCCCTCCCTCCCTCCTTCCTTGTTTTCAAGACATGGTTTTTCTGTGTAACTCTGGCTACACTTTGTAGACCAGGCTGGCCTCAAACTCGGATATCTGCCTGCCTCTGCCTCCCGAGTGCTGGGATGAAGGTGTGGGCCGCCGCTGCCTGGCTAAGCCTTTTATCGCTGTTTGACGTTTTTGTCTACTCATTGGTCTGTCTGTCTCACCCACATACTGTGAGCACTTAAGTCAGAGTGGAACCATGCCCTTCCCAACACCCAACACCCCACACAGAACCAGAGACACCCACAGCAGGTCCATGACAGTCTGTGTGCGAATGGGTGAGAAAATGAACCTATTAAGAACTGTCTTCAGTTCGTTCTTTCCTCTCATTGGCCGACAGCCTGCCTAGCCCCGCCCCACGGAGTGACCACAGGCAGGTCTTCTGCCTTTGCTGGATCTCCTCTAGGGAAAGTGTAACAGTTCGCCCCTCCCCTAGGACTGCCCTAGACGCACCAGGGTCCATCCATCTAGTCAGGAGGGCCTCAGCAGGGGCCAGTGCTCCCACACTATGCTCTGAGCCCACTTCCTCTTGGAGTTGGATCCCCTTGTCCTGGCTTTCCTAGTCCTGAAATGGTGTTAGTGGTTTCTTATCTATTCAACTGTTGGGCAACTCTGTGCCCACGGTGAGACATTTTTACTCTACAAGCTGAACAGCCTAGACTCCTCCACGAACCAGCAGGCTATATAGCAGGCCTCTGTAACCAGGGCATCATTGGCACCGTAAGGGTAGGACCAGGACTCTGCAAGTCTGATCTGCCTTGCTACTCTGAACCAAGCGGGGGGGGGGGGGGGGGGGTGCTCTGAAAATTGGAGATTCTGGGTAAGAAGGGAGTTTTACTACCATGTTGAAGGTTTGAAGTTAGCAGCTGGGAGTAGCAGCTGGAACAACAGCCTCACCTGCAAGGACAGATGGTTGGTGTGCTCAGGCAGATCACCTGGAAACTCACGCAGGTCAATACCACCGCAGTCTACAACACCTTCCTGGGAGCAGGCACAGTCGCGGGGACAGTCGATGGTGGCTGGACCCGGCTCCAGCTCCTCGGGGCTCAGAACTAGCACAGGCTGTCCTTCCTCCACAAATTCATTCTCCTCAGGGCTCAGGCTGTGGAGGTCACTTCGGCCAAACACAGGAGCCTTCACAGCCAGGGCAGGGCCCAGGAGCAGCTGGGGCAACAGCAGCAGGAGTGGTAGGCCCCTGCTGCTGGCCATGGTGCCTGCGGGAGGGGGGGGGGGGGAAATGGCTCAGGCTCACCTCGGTGCCAGGTGACTCACTGATCCCATACGTTGGGCATGTAGTTATGGCCAGTGGAGGGCATGATAGGGCCCCCTAGACTAAGACAGTGGCACTCAAGAGCTCGGTGACTGCCACCCTTTCTCATGGGGGGGGGGTCTCCTCTGTAGTGATGGAAGGGCCATGAAGCCCTGTCCTTAGTCAGGGCTGCAAAACCGCCTATAACCCTCACCAGCCTGGGTCCAGAGGAATCTGCACCCTTATTTCACAGAAACTCCTGCTGTCCTGACCTAGGCAGTGTGACAAGCCTTTGTCTCTGCCCTAGCGGGTGTGACACTCTGCTCTAGCTCCCACGGAGGATCCCAGAACTCTGCCCCGACTCTTCCAACTCCCTCTCTATCACCAGCTGAGTTACACGGGACTACTTAGTGCTCCCTCCCTCCAGGCCTTAGCGCATACTATTCCTTCTGCCCCAGATGTGCTTCCCCTCTCTTGTGTGGTCGGCAATTTCTAAGAAATAACTGAAGAGGTACAGTGTATGGGGGTGGGTGGGGGATGGGTAGAGTCTGAGATTGCCCCAGGGCTTAGCGATAGTTGGCTTGGGTTGTGACTAAAAGTCACAGCCCCTAGACTGAGACCTATCACTTTCTGCATGTAGGTACCATCTGAGTGCACCCAAAGTCAGACAGAGAGGTGACCGAAGCTGCTGCCATCCTATGACCCGATGAGTCCCACCCCTGATGATCAGTCACTCAGCCATCCTCACCAGGGCTAGACACACTCACACGACCACTGCCCCTGCAGATAACCACTCCACCCCCACCCAGGGCAGCAGGGATGGGTACAGGCTAAGGATGTGACTTGACGACCATTGTCCCCATGGTCCCGCAGGCCAGGGTGTCACAAGGACTCAGAAATGTCTCCACAATGTGTTGAGCTGCAGGGAGAGGCACTGATCCCAGCATCACAGACCCCAGGCAAAGCCTCACCTCCCCCGATCCACCACACGCTCGCTGCACCAGGCAGGTGCTGTCTAAATTCACAGTCCTATCAGGACCGAGGATGGCAAGAGACACAGAGCATCTGATGCCCATTAGGGGACAGGAGCAGCTGTTGCTACGTAGATGACGCTACACCACACCATGTTCCATTGAGTGGCGCACAGGTGAGTGTCCAGGCTTCAGGCTCCACTCCAGAATGGAGTGGTCGGTACACAAGCCAGCCACCACTCCTCGGGAAATGCAGCCATGCAGCAGCTAGAAGGGTCTGACCAGAGCCTATCTCTGCAGGATTAGGGAACCTGGGAAGTTGGCAGTGACGCTGGAGGCTGAGATGTGGAGATCAGTGTGTGACTTTGGACAGTTTGGAAACAGTCTAAACTTCAGTTTCTTATCTGTCCTAAAGATGATTACAGAAGCGTCCTCCGTGGGCACTCCCTAGGTCAATGAGGGACACACAGTAAATGCTTAACGAATGAATAAACATGAATTTCTCCCTTCCGTTCTCTCTCCAGTGCTTCTCAGCCTCCCTAATGTATTAACCTTTAACACAGTTCCTCCATGTTGTGGTGAACCCTCAGACGTAAAACTATTTTCATTGCTACTTCATCGCTGTAATTTTGCTGCTGAGTCATAATGCAAACACCTGATGTGCAGGATATCTGATATGTGACCCTTGTGCAAGGGTTGTTTGACCCCCTAAAGGGGTCTCAACACACAAGTGAGAACCACCACTCTACTCCATAGCACGGTCAGCCCCCTAACCACCTCATTACCCACTCTAGCACCCCCTCTTCACCCCATCCCATGTGTGGTGGTTTGAGTAGGTGTGGCCCCCATCCACTCATATGTTTGAATGCTTGGCCCATAGGGAGTGGCGCTATTAGGAGGTGTGGCCTTGTTGGAGTAGGTGTGGCCTAAAAAGAAGCATGTCATCGTGGGGGCAGGCTTTGAGGTCTCATATATGCTCAATCTACACCCAGTGGCACAGCTCACTCCTGTTGCCTGTGGATCCAGATGTAGAATTCTCAGCTCCTTTTCCGGCACCATGACTGCCTGAATGTTGCCATATTCCACCATGATGATAACGGACTAAACCTCTAAACCGTAAGCCAGCCCCAACGAAACGTTTTCCTTTATAAGAGTTGGCGTGGTCATGGTGTCTCTTCACAGCAGTAAAACGCAAAGACACTATGTCTAGAACCCACTTGGCCTTCGTGGTCTGGCTGGTCCCAACCCATCGGCCTTAGATGGGCTGCAGAAGATGTCTAGTCCACTAGCCATCCTGACTCCCACTGCTGCACTAGCCCTGGGCCCTGGAGACAGAGATGAGAGAGGTCACATGCCCGTCCTGTCTAGAGTGGATGATACCATAAACCATGACCCACTCAGATCTGGGTGGCAGTCTTCCCTTGGAAGACAAGACATCCCAGGGAAAGGATAGGAAGAAGAGGGTAACAGCTAAATTAAGGAATCTTGACCATACGACTCACACAGCCTACTTGAGTCCCAGCCCACTAGTCTGGCAGAGCCAGGGAGCCCAGCAGATGCCCAGCTCTTAGGTGCCAGAGATCAATGAGCAGAAACGAATGGCACTGGCAGCAGCCTGGTCCTCCATTCCGCCCCCCCCACCCCGCCACACCTCTACAGACCATCAGCTTCCCCTCCCCCACAGCTGATTCCCCAGTCTTCTGGCCAGAGCAGACTTGGGGAGGTGGGGAGTAAGCCTCAAATTTACTTAGAGCAGGAGGCCAGGGATGGATGCAGGAAAGGCGCTGGGCCTCGCATATACAAGGTACTCACTGGACAGGCTGGCTTTCTTCCCTCACCTTTGGCTGGTCTCCATAAAAATCCACAAGCTTATCTGCACAAATACATAACTTAAATCAACATTCTGAACCACACTGAAAATGTTTTCTTCACTACTTCAGAGATCAGAGGGCAGAGGCCCATGGGGATCAGTCAGTGTAATAGCTGTTAAGGGGCTGCACTGAGCTCCGGGGCTTCTGCATTACCCCAGGCTGCTCTTGTGGGGGCCAAGCACACCAGGCTGGATCCTCTGTGGAAGTCTGGGGCAGGCTCCTGGCTGAGAGGTTCATGAAGCCCTGTCTCCTCCTGTAGACACTGGCTACCACATGTGGCTATGGAGCACTTAAAGCGTGGTTAGTCCATGTTCAGACAGGCTTTACCACAAAATTAAGTTTATCTGTTTTTTTGTTTTGTTTTTGTTTTTTGAGACAGGGTTTCTCTGTGTAGCTTTGGAGCCTGTCCTGGAACTCACTCTGTAGACCAAGCTGGCCTCAAACTCACAGAGAGTTGCCACTGCCCGGCAAATTTATCTGTCTTATTTTACTTTTAAAAAATTATTTGGGCCAGGCACGATGGCACACGCCTTTAATTCCAGCACTCGGGAGACAGAGGCAGGCAGAGCTCTGTGAGGTCAAGGCCAGCCTGGTCTACAGAGCAATTTCTAGGACAGACAGGGATGTATAGTAAGACCCTATCTTTAAAAAAAAAAAAATTAAAAAAAAATTGGTTGGGTGGTAGTGGTGCACACCTTTAATCTCAGCACTTGGGAAGCAGGGGCAGGCGAATCTCTGTGAGTTTGACAGGATAACCAGGACCACACAGAAAAAAACCTTGCCTCAAAAATCCGTAATAAATAAATAAATATAAAAATTAAAGTGTATGTGTACGTGTGTGAGAGAGAACACATGAGCAAGTGTGTATATGAGAGAGTGAGCATACATGTGAGTGTGTATGTGCGCGCACGTGTGCATGCGTGTGCAGGCATGTGCACACCAGGGTTAGCGTGTGGAGGTCAGGAGTGTGTCTTCTCCTTCCATTCCTGTTTTAGGCCTCTACTGCATACTCCATGCTGGCTGGGCATCAGGGCCCAGACAATCTCCTGCCTCTGCCTCCCACTTTGCCATAGGAGTGCTGGGATTACAGGTGTGTCCCTCTGCACCTGTGGGTTCAGGGCTAGCACAGCTGGTGCTTTTACTCACTGAACCATCTCTCTGGCCTCTCACCTTAACATGGCTTCTAGAACACTTGACACTGCATTTGTGGCTAACATCATGTTTGTTAAATAGTGCTGCTTTAGAGTCTGATGATAAACTGATGAGCTTTACAGTCAGGTAAACTGAGTCACCCGGGAGTTGAGGGGTGAGGTGTAGCGTTCACAGAAGCTCAGAGAAAGCATAGCCTTGTCATAGATGTCTCCCTAGAGGAAGTGAAGCCTAGACTAGGCGTTCTGATGGGCAAGCATCAGGCAAGAACAAAAGAGGGTCGGTGTGTGTGAAGGCCTGGGGTCCAGACAGTCCATGTCGAGAGTGCCACAAAGCTCCCTGGGCTGTCATGGCAGGTGGTAACTGGGAACGACACAAGCAAGCGCAATGGACACAAGTTAGCCACGGTTAGCCACGGAGTATCGCCTGGTTTCTGGAAGATAAGGAGCTATTGATGGGAGGAGAACAGGCTGTGGAAGGCTGGTAGTGAGCAAGGCTGTGTGAGGGATAAAGAGGCTGAAGGGCTGGTGCAGGGATTTCCACTCACTTGCTTTCCAGCAAGGACTAGATTCCAGAGCCAGACAGAAGGAATGAGCACGGCTGGGAGCAGATGCTCGGAGCCCAGCATCACCTCCTGTATTCAGGCTCATTGAGCCCCTACTCTTTTTTGAGCTATAGCTTGCTGGAGCAAGAGAAAGCCCAGGAATAGGCATAAACTATGTTCCTAATTTGCAAGCTGGAAATGCAAGTACAAATGCCTCCCCCAACTATTACCCACCCCCAAAATCTCAGACTCCTCAGCAGCCCTACCCTAGAGGTCTTAGATTTGTCCTTCAAGACTAGGCTGAGCCTCCCCTGATTCTGAGAGTGGAATGAGTTTATGGAAAGGCAGAGAAGAAAGACATACAATGTCATCTGTTCAGACTCCATTTTATAACCTAGTATAATAAAAATAACATAAATAAGAATCAGGAGCTGGAGTGATGGCTCACCTGTTAAGAATAGTACTCCACTTGCAGAAGATCTAAGCCCAGGACTCACTGGGACGGCTTACAACCACCTATACCCCAGCTCCAGGGGTCTGATACCTCTGGCCTCTGCCAGCACCTGCACACACAGACACATAGTTAAAAATAAGTCATAACCAGGCGGTGGTGGCATGTGCTTTAATCCCAGCACTCGGGAAGCAGAGACGGGTAGATCTCTGAGTTCAAGGCCACCTTAGTCTACAGAACAAGTTCCAGGACAGTCAGGGCTACATGGGAAAACCCTGTCTCAGGGGGTGGAGTGGGGAGTCTTAGACAAAAGAAGAAAGACAAGGTCATGATGGCTTGGCCAGTAAAGGCTCCTACCTCCAAGTCTGGTGATCAGAGTTGGAATCCTGGACCCACATAGGAGATAACCAATTCTGGCAAGTTGTCCTCTGACCTCCACACATGTTCTATGGCATGTGTATAGATAGATAGATAGATAGATAGATAGATAGATAGATAGATGATAGATCGATAGGTAGACGATAGATAGATAGATGATAGAACGATAGGTAGACGATAGATAGATAGATAGATAGATAGATAGATAGATGAGATAGAGGATAGATCGATAAGTAGATGATAGATAGATAGATAGATAAATAGATGATAGATAGAATAAATTTTAAAAGTAGAACTGACATTTTTCTTCCACCCATAGCCCTGAGATGGTCTTGAAGGCTAAGTAGGAGTTCCCCAGGTGAACATAGGGAAAGAAAAGCCCTCCAAGCAGATGGACAGCCTGGGTGGGGTATGACATAGGGACAGGAAAGAGGTGTGTGTGTTTAAGCAGGGTAAATGAAGAATAGAAATTAGGGATGGAGACACACGTTGCCAAGGGCATCAGCCACCATACCAGAGTGCTGGTGATAGGGAGCCATCAGGATTCCAGTAGGTTGTGATCAGCACTCTGTGTGTGACCCCACCAAGCCTACAGGTGTCACTTCCTACCCAGGATTCAGACAGAAGGGACAAAAAGTACCCACTCATGGTGCACAAAGTCACAGAATCTGACACTTCTTACCTTGCACACTGAAGACTGGGCCCAGGGCTCCTAGAGTATACAGTAGGAGGCAGGGCTCCAAAAGTATACAGTAGGAGGCAGAAGCCCCAGCCCAGCCATTGATGAGCTTCCCAGGGCAGCCCAGGCCCTTCCCAGGTGTGTGTGCTGATCATTTTGGCTTTCATAAGATGAAAGGGAGAGGTAGAGGAAAGGCCCATCCAGCGGTCCTCCCAGCTCACACCCCTGGTGCCTCTTCGTGCCTGGCAGAGCGCAGTCTCACCTTCTCCAGCAGATGCTCATGTTGCTACTGCTCATCCTTTTGTCATCTCTTGCGCGCCTGCATCCTAGCCCTAGCCTTGACTGCTTAGGCTGCAGCTGCCTTCCAACCCAGGCCCCAGCACAGGAGCCCCAAGCCGACCCCACCCCCTTCTTCCACCTGACTGCAGGTCAGGTATTCCAACTCCCCACGCCCTTCGCGCCCCATTCCCGCCTGAGAACGACAGTGCTTTTCGCTTTGTCCCTTTCTGTCCTGCTGGAAGTAGTAGCTGCCTACACAGACGGTGGGGTTGTGGCCAGAGCGCATGGCACTGTGCTAGACCGCACCGAAGGTCAAGACCCTTGCTCGCCTGTGCACCTCACCTGTCCACGCACCCTAGAGATTGATTTCTGCCTGCTGTGCTTGCTGGTCTGTAAAGAGGTCTGTGTTGGACTCGGTGGAGCCCCTGCTGAACTGACGTGGAAAGTCGCGGGATGCCCTGGGCCCAAGTTCTCAGTGCAGAGGGCCGGACCCCTTCCCAGTTCCACCTGCCCCCACAGTCCCTGTCACCCATCCGCGTGCCTCCACTTCCCCTCCCCATCCGCTCGCAGATTCTTTCCAGATGTGCGCAGCGGGAGGAGCCCGAAGGGTGGGATCAGACTCTAGCATCGAGTAGAAAAAGCTCCCTCTGCCCCCCTGATCCCTCAGGGGTCGCCCCCCTGCGCTATGTGTGTGCCTGATCGTGCTCCTGCGCAGGGTCCGCCGGACAGGGAGGGATGCGGCGACCCTCCCCGGCAGCAGCGATGGGCACCGAGCGGGAAGTCAGAGTGGGCTGCCCGGGCGCGGCCCATGGCCCGTGGTCCCTCGGCCCACCCGTCCGCCCGTGCCCTTACCTGCTGCTGCGCCCGCGCCGTGGGCGGAACAGGCTCCCGGGTGTCCGCTGCGCTCCGCGGCCGCGGGCTCCTGTCATTCGAGTAGCGCTGTGCGCACAGCGAGGCCAAGTTTTGTTGTGGGTTCTCTCTCCCCGCCTCTCCCCCGGCCCCCGCCCCGCTTGCATCTGCCGGACACGCCGGCCTCTCCCGACACAGGCGCAGGGTCCCGCCGGGCGCGGGGAGGGAGGGAGGGCCTGCGCCCAAGGCGCCGGGCTTGGCGAGGCCCCACTTCCCGGGAGCCCGTGCCGCCGCCCCGGCCCCTCTCCGCCCCCGCGGCCGCCGCACCACGCCCCCCCCCCCGGAGCCGGGCCAGGCGGGTGCCTCCCGCGCACCACGTCCCACTGCCAGCCTGCGCGGTGGAGCCGCTCCCCACTCAGGCCCCCGCACCTGAGCAGAGCCCGAAGGCTCCTTCAGCCACTGCCTCCGCGCTCAGCTTCTTCCTCATGCCTGGGAGGATTTTGCAACCATTCCAGGCGCAAGTGCCTTTCTGTTCCCTCTCCCACCCTGGGGTCCCCGGTTGTGGCTAACGCGGCCGCCAGCCAAGACCCTGCTGGACCCCTTCCCGACACAATTCCTTGTTCTCCGCCCCACCATCCGCCCTCATTCCGTTGGCCCTGGGCCCACAACTTGGTGAACCTTGAAGGATGGTAAATTAGGCCGGGAGTCTTCGTGCACTCAGGTCCTAGTCACAGAAAGACAAGGGGGCGAGCAGGGAGCATTTACGGCACCATATTGCTCCCAGGAATTGAAAATGGTTTCAAGGAGAGGCGCATTAAGTACTAGCAGCTGAAGCAACAGTGTTTGGCGCCAGGGGCTTCACGGTGGAAAGGAGGTGGGATGGATTTGGGTGCTACTTGGAACCTCCGCTCTGAAACAAACCTTTCAAAAGTGCTCTGGCCTTTGGGCAGGGCTCACCCGACTCCCGGAGAGGGTTGAGGATGACAAATCAGATGTGGAACCACTTGGCCACCTAAACCGCCAAAGACAAGGCTCTGGTAAAGTGGTTCCAGATCTTTCACCCTTGCTCTGCCGGCATTCTATTCCCATCTCCATGCCTTAGTCTCTAATCCTCACAGCACAGCAAAGGAGACTATTTCTCTAAAAGTAAGGGCATGCATGGCCTCTGCCAGACTGTGTAACTGACATTCCCACTCAGCTGGGGATTCTGGCCCATCTACCCATCTCAACAGCCCCCTGTGATGCGAACAGGCAGGTTGGTGAATAAGAAGACCAGAGCCCGGATTTGAACCCACGACCATCTGTTTCCATTACCCATCACCAAAGAACTTACAAGAATGGGAAAGGGAAATATTTTGCCTTCTTTGGCCTCAAATTCCAATCCTCCCTGAGCTCAAGCTCGAATGTTGGTATGATTCACAGTGTTGGACCGGGCCCAGCAGAGACGCATCTCGTGTTTTCTGGACAGGGCCTAGATTCAAGCAGAGCTAAAAGAACTGGATGCTATTGGCCTGTTTACCCACGAACAAGAGCATCAGCACACACTGAGGCTAACGAAGTGCAAGCACTGTCCTTGAATATCCCGTCCTCCCAGCCCTGTGGGGATGGAGCCACAGTAGACTATACTGGGAAGGGCCAGGCTGTTTTAGGGGCCAGGCGTTTGGAACACTATGCGCTCCCTTCCCTACCACCACAACTAGCTCTGCCAAGCCAGTGCCCACACACATTTTATGTCTGTGTGGTGCTGAAGATACAGGCTCCATTACAGAGGCCAGGTCTGGGGGCATCATGTCTCAGGTAGAAAATGGAGATGATCCTGCTGCAAATCCTCTGGCTTTCAGGAGGGATGAGGCACCTCTGAACCCACCGGTGCTGCTTCAGCTCCGCTGCACTTCTCAGTGTCAGCCTCTGTTTGGCCTGAGGTCGCTACAGTGCATGATGTCAAGGACAGGTTTTGGATAAAGACTTGGGCCCAAAGGAAAAGTAATCGCTGTACACCAAAAACTGTCTACGTTAAACAGAAAAATCCAGGACCCTGCAGAGCACTGGACTCGTGGTAAGTAGCCAATAAACAATACCTGTTTTTTACAGATCTGGTACCCTGTCCTGACTAAACTCCAAGAGATGGCCAACAGAAATGCAAAGACCAGCATCATGGAGCATGTCTGTAATCCCAGGACTTGGGTGGCTGAGGCAGGAGGACAGCAAGCTTGAGACAGCTGGGCTACACGGTGAAATTCTATCTGAAAACGTGGTGGGATGAGAGTTGGAGATACAACTCAGTGGATAAAGTACCTTGCCACACGAGCGTGAGGACCTGGGTTCAGACCCCCAGAAGCCCAGGAGAAGCAAGACACTGTAGCACGTGGGTCTGTAATGCCAGTGCGCTCCAACCAGGAGACGGAAAGTGGAGACAGGAGAATCCCCAAAAGCGGTCTCAACAAGGTACACGGTGAGGACTGACCCTGGAGGTTGTCCTGACCCCCCTACATTCACATTTTAGCTGCCCCCATGCCTGTATTAACACACTAATAACAAACATACACGCAAAGATTTTAAAGACGACAAGTGTCGAGAAACAAACTCCTGAACTGCCAGCCCGAGCGCCTTCTAATCAGAAACAGAAGGAAGCGACATAAGCGGGGAGGGGGACACAGCCATGAGACACAGAGCTGGGGCTGAAGGACGGGGAGTCTAGCGGAGGTTTGATGGTGAAAAGGAGAGAAAAAGAGCAACGAGCTATTTATCATACTTCATCAACCAGAGAAGAAAGGAATCCCTTCTTCCCTGAGCTTAGGACACAAGTCCTTTCCTTATCCAGGAGCAGCATCCTGAACACTAAGCTACAACAGGGGCTGGATCAAATCAGAGTGCTGTGTGGGTCTATGGAGTCTGTCTGGAAGTTTTTTATTGTTATTTTCATTCGTACTGGGGATTAAACTTGGGGCATTGTGTGCACTAGGCAAATGATCTACTGCTAAGCCCTCTTTTTAATTATATATATATATATATATATATATATATATATATATATTACAGGGTCTCATCAAGTTGCCCATCTTGAACTTTTGATGTTTGCCTACGGCTTCTTAAGTAAGCTGATAGGCCTGCAACCATCACCCTGACTGAAGGCTCCTGACAGAGGCCGAGACTTGGGGCTGAGGAAATGGCTCAGTTGGTAAAGTGCTCACATGAAGACCTAAGTTCAATTTCCAGAACACACCCCAAAAAGTTGAGCATAGAGGCATGCATCTACAGTCTCAGAAACTGGAACGGGGGTGGGGTAGAGACAGGGTCCCTGGGGCTTGCTGGCAGCTAGTCTAGCTGAATTGGTGAATTCAAGGCTCTCAGAGAGACATTGTCTCAAAACATAAATAAATAAGATAGGCTAGAGACACAGATCAGTTGGTGAAGTGTTTGCCATATAAGCTTGAGGACCTGAAGTTTGGGTCCCCGGCACCCATATGAAAGCCAGGCAAGACAGCACATGTCTGTAAGGCAGCCCAGTACTGTGGAGATAAAGGCAGGCCAAATCCAGGAGCTCACAGGCCAGTCAGTCTAACCAAATCAGTAAGCCTGAGGGACCCTGTATCCAAGACCATGCTGAAGAGCAATTGATGAAGACACCTAGAGTACGGACATGTGCACACACACACAACTCATCAAAGAAGTAGAGAATGATGGGAAACCCATAGGCCAAGTCACATACAAAGAGGTCTAGACTCCTATGACATATCACAAATATAAATTTTGGATTAGTGTATTTTTAATGTCCTCCACTGGGTTGAGCCCTCCAGGGCAAGAACCTTAAGTCATGTTGTGTGAGGTCCCAGGTAGAATGCCACATACCACCCCCAACATATACACACCAGAACACCCACCCCTTAACCTCCACAACCTGAAAACATGCTTTGTGACACAGAGGGCATTGCAGACATAGTAAGGAGCACGAATGTTTTCTCTGGGGAGACAGCTTCCGCTGGAGACTGAACGCAGGGCCTCAAACATTAGCCACATCTCCAGCCCAAGGTCATGGACTTTCTGAATTTCGTCATGGAAATTTATCTATCCATGCTGAGACATTCTGCAGGCTGGAGACAGAAGAAATGAAACAGAAGGGGCCTTCAAAAGATGTGACATATGAGGCTTCCACTAGCTTTAAAGATGAAGGAACTGTGAGGGAGGAAGGTTGTAGTTCTAGAAGATCAAACACCCACAGCCACCAGAGCTGCAAGCCTGGAGCAGCTGGGAGCTGAATTCTACCAAAATCCTGACCCATCCACCAGCAGACTCTCTGGTGATCTCCACATAACAGGCCAGGACAGCTGTAACGCAGCTTCTAAGACTCCGGGCAAAGCAGCCAGGGCAACCAACCAGGCATCCTGAACCATGGTGGTGTTATCTACCCCTTATTTCAGGAAACTGTGACCAGGGCACCCCACTAATGAGGGCTGGGGGCAGAATTCAATCTCTGGTCTTCAGGTTCCAGCCCAGGGAGATTCTTAAACAGGAAGGGTCCAGCAACACACCTCCCTCCGGCTGCTTTCACACTGAAAACTTCTGAAGATTCAATGTCTTCCAGAATCATGAACATGTATAAAAAGCAAAGGAGATGAACAAGTCCTTCTGGCACACAGAAGTAGTTTAGAAGACGTCCTCAAAACCGGCCGTGAATGAAAGGGTATGTTGTCCATTCCAACGGCCCTTCAGCCACCACTAAGGTCTGCCTCACAGTGGCCGTCCTCAGGGTGAAGATGCCTCTGCGGCTGGGGCCTCTAATCCACTCACTGTCAGTTTTATTGACAAGAAGGTCAACTGGTTTTCTTTTCTTTTTTAAAAAATATTTATTAATTTTAATGAACTTATGAGTTTTTGACCTGCTGTATGTGTGCGTACCATGTCTGTACTTCATGCCCAGTGTGTCTGCTCTCCCTACCACTGAAGTTACAGACGGTTGTGAGCCACGATGTGGGTGCTGGAAACTAAACCGGGGATCTCTGGAAGAGCAACAAGTGCTCTTAACTGTTGAACCAACTCTCCAGCCCTCAACTGATTTTCTTTCTTTCTTTCTTTCTTTCTTTTTTTTCTTTTCTTTTCTTCCTTTCTTCCTTTCCTCCCTCCCTCTTTCCTTCCTTTCTTTTATTTCTTGTTTTTTTTGAGACAGGGTTTCTCTGTGTAACAGCCCAGGCTGTCCTGGAACTAGCTCTGTAGACCAGGCTGGCCTCGAACTCACAAAGATCCTTCCTCTGCCTCCTGAGTGCTAGGATTAAAGGTGTACACCACCAC